CTTTTTCTTTTACACCAATAACCGAATCCCATACCCAGATCTTCGATTTCTACCGATCTTGATCGATACAAATCTTGGAATATTTCTTCGCATAGTTGACAATTCGTAATCGTTTACTGAAGAAGAAGAAGAAGAATGCCCCGCCTTTCGGCTACCTTGCGGTATAGGGTGCTGTCCGAGGACAGTTTCGAGAAGCCCGATATTTTTCCTACATCTATTACTAAATGTAGCTCTGGACAGAAGGCCGGCCTGACTCAGAGTTCCTCTCGCTTTATTTCTTAAGCTCCCCATACATACGGACTAATCACATACTAGTCACAAGCACTATTTAGTGTATGTCAACAACTTAGTCAATTTGTTATCGGATGGGTGGTCCGAGACAAAACAGCCGTTAGTGACTTGTCCAAGGTCATTCTATGACTGATGGAGCCGAGGTTCGAACACACTATCTTGTGGATATGTGTCAAACATCTTAACCATTCAGCCATAGCGGCTCTCGTTTACTGAAATAAGTCACCAGATACAATTTATCGATCTGATTCATCACCAATTCTCAAAAAAATCGTTTGTTATCCCAAAATCACAATAAAGTTTTCTTTAATTGCTGTATTTTTTCACAAAATGAAATTGATCACGATTTCACGCTGACAATTTTGAAAATTGCTACAATTTTCACAAAACGGATGTACATTGACTTGTGAAAGTGTTTTTCTCCATAGATAAACCAATTTGTTTTGTTGACGTACAGAACGAAGAGACAGACATGAATAGTGACCCGATCTTACCGAAAATGCTCGATGCATTAATTGTCGGTGCTGGTTTCTCAGGGCTTTACATGCTGTATTGTTTACGTGGACACGGTTTCACAGTAAAGATTCTTGAGACTGGTGATGGTATAGGTGGTACGTGGTATTGGAATTGTTATCCAGGAGCACGTTGTGACGTTGAAAGCATACAGTACTCATATTCATTCTCGGAAGAATTAGAAGAAGAATGGAAATGGTCGGAATCATTTGCTTCGCAGCCGGAAATCTTGCGTTATCTCAATTATGTTGCTGATAAA